CTCACAGCCCCATGCAGTTCTCTCTGTTATGCCTCCATCCCCCTTCTTGGTTCTTTATTCCCTGCCTTTCTCCATCATAAGGGTCTCAAGGGTCGCCTAGAGGAAACAGATCCCAAACAGGCTTGTGAATAATAACCACAAAGCTGTACAAATTACATTTAAAGGTTTCAGAACACAAACACAGCTAGAAGGAGCAAAGTTATAACAGGGCCCCCCCCCCCCATCATGCTCAACAGTAGTTGGGTGGCAACATTTTGGACCGACTGATGTTTCCAGACAAATCTTCAAGGGCTGCCCTGAGTAGAGGGCATTACAGTAGCTGCATGAAAGACAGCGGGAACCTCTTTTTATTACAGTGGCAGGTGCAGAGGGCAGATCAGCCGAACCTGGTAACTGTTAAAAGGCCCTTTCGAGTCACAGCTGCCATCTAAAATTCCAGAAGCAAAATTGGACTCAGGAGGGCCCCAAATTGAAAATGTGATCTCTCAGGGAGAGTGTAATCCTATCCAGAACAGGCATTTCCCCTGCTAACTGGTCCTAAGTCTCTACTGCAAATATTACCTCTGTCTGTTTCGGTTTGGACTTCAATTTATTAATCTAATCCATTATCAGAATGCAACTCTAAAATTCCAGAAGCAAAATTGGACTCAGGAAGGGCCCCAAATTGAAAATGTGATCCATTATCAGAATGCAACTCCGAAGGACACCATAGAATAAATTCCATGTAGAATAACAGTAGATTCCCCCCCACACACCTCTGCCACTGCCTTCTGGGACGGCTATTGCTTCAGAGGGAGGGGAGGCAGGGAACTTCCAGGGATGACTCCCAAGCAATTTCTTACCTGGCGTTGAGGTCCCTGATGAATGTGACCGGTGTCTATTTGCAGCTTCCCAAAGTGGGCCATCACAGTGCTATGAAGAAATTAACGGCCAGAGTGACCGGATGGGACACTGCGGCTCCATTGGGACGGGATATCAGAAGTGTCAGTGGCAGTATGTTTTCGATACAACTGAAATAATTTGATGAAATCTTATGTTTCCTATGACGTGGGTTATGTTTGTAAAGTCATCAGGGGCTGTGTTTGCACCTTGGTAGAGAACAGGCTGGCTGCATCATTCTGAATCTGAATCACTGTGCCGTTAACAAGTTTTTCCGCCCATGAACACATCATCATTGTTAATCTGGTGATTTAAATACTGGTAATACTGTTAGCTGATTTAAATGTTTGGGATTGTCCAGTAGCCCAGAAAGACATTTAGTCCACTGAAAACATACTTGCAGATGAAATAGAATCCAGGTAAAATGCAATCAGAGCATCTTTAGTTTTGCTGCTCCCTACTATACCAAGATAGGTGTGCGGGGTGGAGTGCGGGTGGATCTCTTTGCTCCATATAGCTACCCTATTCCTGTTTCACCTCCTCCAAACCCTTTCTTAAAAATCCCCTGCCCAGTCAGCTTAACCTGATTGTCAGGCCTTAGTTTCCTGTCTCCCACTCTCACCCCCGGTTCATTAAGCTTGGGATTCTCTTCCACTGCCAAACTGATCTGTTTTGAGGCTTTGCGAATCTGATCTGACCCCTGTTCCCACCAACAGGCCTGCTCCCCCTTTCCTGCCACAGTCTGAAATGCTCCCTGAAATGTTTTGGGGGACCCACAAAATGGGGAGAGAGGGTTGGATGGCTGCTACATGAAGGGAGAACTGACCAGAATTGCACACATGTGCATGTACACAAACACACACACACACCCCATAGAGATTTTTTCACAAGATCCAACCCGTATGCTGGTGCAACCTTCTTTGATGGTGCGTCAGATTCTAGAGGGGAAGTCTGCTGCAGAAGATAGGACTTGGTGTGTGAGAGAAGAACTAGCCCAGAATGTAGCAGAAAAAGCAGACATCTAGCAGGGACTCTGCCCTGCTGCTTCACTGGGGCCTCACTTTTAGCAGCACAGCTGAAGACCATTGCAAGCAACTAACTAATGAGCAGCTGCTACTGTAATGGAGCAGTTTCACAGACATGGACCCATGCTCAACATTTGAATCAGGTTGTCTGGTGAGCAGGAGAGCAATGCGTGTATATTCTGGCTTAAAGTGTTACGCATGGTGGCCAATACTGGACACAACATTATCCTGGTGTATACTTATGGGTGCTTCTGTCCAGGATTTCTTAAGAGGAACAAGCTTCCGAGCTGCAGCTAGAACATGATAGTTTGGTGTGTGGTGGCTGGCCAGAGTGACATGATAGGATTGTAAGGTGAATGGTGATTGTTACTATTTCGTGTTTTCAGGCTCTCTGGTTTGGGGAGCTTTTGGCGATTCCCTCTTGTCCAGGGGGCTCCAATGTTCTCCTTCTTCATCCTGCTCTAATCTCCAGCCTGAGATAGATCACCTGCCCTCTTCCCTTAACAAACTGTGCTCTTGTCAGAACTCCCTTCTACCCCAACTGAGCCCCCACCTCCCTTCTGCTGTCATGCAGAGAAAGCCCAAGCCGAGATATTCTTTCGAAAGAAACATTGGCCACCCAGAGTCATGTGCCATGCTACTTTTCTAATTGCAAGGCTTGGAAACTGTGGTTTGGGGCATGTGATGTCACCTGTAATTTTCTCCTCCCCCCCCCCACCCGCTTTGTTGTGCTCCATTTGCTTGCAGGGATCTCAGGTGTGGCAAGTTGGTCTGTGGATATCCATACAACAAGCCTTTCATGATAGAAAATGCAGCCGTGATCTACGCAAGAGTGCAGAATCGCTGGTGCGTCACATTAGACTACCAGAAGGGGACAAACGTGAAGGACCCCTTCTTGGTTCATGATGGTGCTGGCTGTGGGCAAAACAAGGTAACAGCTGAAGCTAGAGAAGCGGCCAGAATTCATTGGTCCCCCTGGAAACTGTACTGCCACTCATGTTTGCAGTAACCCCGAGGCGTCCTTCTGCCCGTTTCTATCTCATTTACTTGCCACTGAAGAGGGCCAGTTAGCAGAAGCTAGATGCACAAATTCTTGCATGTTCTTTATTCACTCTCTTTATAGTTGTTACCACTCTTTGGACTTGTTCTTTATTCACTCTCTTTATAGTTGTTACCACTCTTTGGACTTGTGCTTCTATCCTTTATTCAGTGGAATGGCTAACAGTGGAAGTGCATTTCCGCCTGTAGTTTTATTTGTTTTCCATCCAGATGGGTTGAAATTGTCAAAGATTCCTTGCCCAGTGGATCCTCCCTCCAAATTTCAGGCAGATAGGTAAAAGTGCCCTCGTTTTAGAGGCAGTTAACATTCTTGCTTTCACACCAGGCACCAGAGAGTAGGGGTGTGCATTTGGTTCCGACCCCTTTCGGGCTGCTGCAGGCCGATTCAGATTCTCTGATGTGAATTGGCTTTTCTGCGGGCCATTCTGCCCCATTATATCCTGGAAGGCCAGATAATGAAACTGAAGCTCAAATAATTTGGCCACCAAATGAGAAGGGAGCACTCCCTGGAGAAGACCCTGATGCTGGGAAAGATTGAAGGTCAAAGAAGAAGGGGATGGCAAAGGATGAGATGGTTAGACAGTGTCATCGATGCAACGAACATGAAATTGAGCAAACTTCAGAGGACGGTGGAAGACAGGAAGGCCTGGCGTGATCTGGTCCATGGGTCGCAAAAAGTCGGACTCGACTGTGCGACTGAACAACAACAACAACTATCCTATGGGCCATTGAAGTCAATGGCGAAAACTTAGGGTATATTCTGGGGGCTAGAGGGGAGGGGGCTTGAGGGAGAGACTCCAAACTCCCAGGGTAGCTGCTAGAGCCTCTCCCCAAGATACCAACCAAGTTTGAAGAACATTGGACCAGGGGGTCCAATTCTACAGGCCCCCAAACAGGTTGCCTCTATCCATTGTTCTCTATGGTGGGAAAAAAGTAAAGTCCATTCTAGTACCTTGGGAGTCAACCATCTCATTTTGCTGTTTGTGTGGATCAAGGCAGTTGTAGACTGTCCCAATATGCCAATGTTTGAGGCCTGCTTTCTGGTCTTCGTAATTTCTTATGAAGCATGTTTCTGCCTTGGTTTGCTCCCTGAAAATTGGGCTTACCAGGCTTTAAAAACAGCTTTGAAAATATAATAAAGTCTTTTCAATGGATTCTAAATAAATGGAGGGAGGAAGGAAGGGCTGGCGGGCGGGCTGGTTGGACCAATCGCAATGCCTCCTCCCTTCTTATGGCACTGCTCAGGGCTTGGGGGAGGTTAGAGGGAACAAAAGTCTTCATCCTACCTTAGGGTTGCCTACCTCCAGGTGGGGCCTGGAGATCTCCCAGAATTACAGGTGAGCTCCGAATCTCCAGACTACAAGATCAGTTCCCCTGGAGAAAATGGCTGCTTTGGAGGGTGGACTCAGTGGTTGTATACCTTGTTGAGATCCTTCCCCTCCCCAAACCCCACCCTTCCAGTCTTCATCCTACCTTTGGGTTGCCTACCTCCAGGTGGGGCCTGGAGATCTCCCAGAATTACAGGTGAGCTCCGAATCTCCAGACTACAAGATCAGTTCCCCTGGAGAAAATGGCTGCTTTGGAGGGTGGACTCAGTGGTTGTATGTCTTGTTGAGATCCCTCCCGTCCCCAAACCCCACCCTTCTCCACATCTCCAGGAATTTCCTAACCTAGAGTCATCAACCCTCCCCCTGCCCTTAGATACTCCTCCTGTTGCAATGGCTGTCCTTCAAGAGGCCGCAGCCAGCCCAGAGTAGATTGCCTCCCCCTCCAAGCCTCATGCTGAGCTCTCTCCGGCAGTGTACTCCAACAGTCGCTGGAGGGAAAGGCTTTCTCTACTTCCAAGCCAGGGTTAAAGCATCCTCAACAGCTTTTTTCCCCTTCCGCAGTGCTGAGGAAAAGCTGGCTGGCTGGGAGGGTTAACAGGGCTAACAAAAGTCCTCATGGCAGCCCCTGAGTTGGTCCCGCCGTGGCCTCATCTCTTACCCTGAAATGGTCCAGTTGCCTTTTCTTTGTTTTTAGTTTTGCTTGAATCAGAAATGCGTGGATTATGCTACAATCAAGCCTAGTTGTGACGCCGCAACAAAATGTAACAAGAATGGCGTGAGTAAAAGCAAAATGACTATTCAAACAGCACTGCATGGGGAGGGGAGGCGTGGAATCTGCCCAGGAGGCTGTGGCCATTGTGCCCTGCAGCTTTCAGGCTAATGCTAGGCCAGCCGCCCTCTCTCAGCCTAGCTTTACCTCATAGGATCAGGGTTGTTTTGAGGATAAAACAAAGGGAGAGCTGCGTATGCTCTTATAAGCTCCTCACACAACAGGTGGGATAGAAGTATACTAGATTGCTTCCACACAGGAGCCCTTGGATTCAGTGCTGCAGAGATCTACATGTCATCATCCTCTATTAGTCCTGCTTCCATGCTTCCGCCTGCTTTGTTTTGATTTTTCCAAACCTAGTTTGGTCTGGTCTTTTTGCAAAGGCCCTTTCTGCACCCGTATTTTGCCTCGGTTTCTGAGCGCATCTGTGAGGTCCTGCTTATTGGGGAGACTGTTTCTCCTTTAAAACACTCTCTGTGTACATAAACTTGGTAGATTTCTGCTGCCACCAGGAATTAAAAATTCCAAATCTCTCTCTTTTGGTAGAATGACCTAGGGTCTGGACACTTCAGAGGACTATGTGGCCCTGAGGAAGGATTATTCTGATGCTGGGATAAGTTTAACCAAAAAATAATTTATTTAATAAAGAACAAAATAGGTTTCTGGTTATTTTGAACTGTTGCCGAAGAAAGAAAGTTTCTGCATTTGTTTTATAGGAATCTGCATTCAGACCGCTTCCAGCACACAGTTGCTCTGCAGTTACCAAAACTCCTTTGGCTGCGATTCTTTGTTCTCATCTGCTTTTGAATCGCTCATCCTTTTCTAAATAGAATTGTTTCTGTGGGTATTTAAGTGCTGCCCACTGCCCTCCCCCATTTCCGCTGCTCTCTCTTTAGGTTGACTCTTCCTCCCCGTTCTGTTTTCTTTCCTTTTTTCTACAAAGACAAAAGAGGATGTGTCTTCCTGTTCAGGCAAACCTTTAAAAAGCCAGAGGGAGCATAAGAAGGAATCAGTAAATATAAAGGACTAGTGGATTCCTTGCTCCCAAATGTGTCAGTCTTGCATGCGTGGGCCTGGATTTCCCTTCCCTTCCCTTTCTTTTTGCAGACTCACAGAGGGTTGGGTCTGTAGTTAAAAGATTTTTTGTTTGTTTTAATTTATTTTTTATTGATTTTTTCAACACTGTTTCAACACTGTTTAACAGCGGAAGGGTTACAGAAAGAAGGATGAAGTCTTGCATAAGCAGATTTAACAGTTAACTCAAAGTGATAAATTCTACTAGAGTATGCAGTTAAAAGATTTGAAAGATGTTTGCCTTTCTCTTAGACAAAGCAGCGAGTTAGCTCAGAAAATGCAGGCTTTGCTTGTAGATGCAGAATGCATACAGAATACACAAATAAATAAACTGGAGGGGGAAAAACCAGTGCAGAAGGAATGCGTGTGACTGCGAAGTCAACCCTTAAGGCTTGACTCCTCAGATTCTCCAGAGCAAGCTGTCAATACAGAAGAGCCGAAGACTGCAATAAAAGCGCCACTCCGTTTGCAGGCTGTGCAGACAGGATAGAGTGCCTTTTCTGCAGGTCTCACTCACATGGACGCCCACTTTCCTTGACTCCCCATCCCTGAGATCACTGTTTGCCCCCACCCAACTGGAAGGCTGTTTTTGGCCTTTTAAAAAAGAACACGCAGTAATTGTTTTATCATCATAACATTAAAACACTGCGGTGATATTGCAAGAAAATTCCTGAAGAAGTCTTCTTATAGTGGTGGGGCAATGGCCACAGTGGGAAGCCGGGTCAAGGGAAATGTGAGGAAGATGCGTCATGTGCCAGAACAAAATGTAGCAAGAAATGGGAGCCCCATTGCCATGTGGGAGCAACCCTGCACAGATGGATTTGGACCTGGTGGTGACTGATGCATTCCAGCCCACCAGGCAGCTGTGCAAACCCTTTTGGAACAAAAGCACACTCCGTTGTTGTTTACTTACACCAATGCTGCTGCAGGAAGGGAGGACGGGAGAGACCGGACTGCTGTAAGTTCAGGTTCTTTCCTTCCCCTTTCCATGAAATCCAGGTATGCAACAACAAAGGGAACTGTCATTGCCATAGGGGCTGGGCCCCACCTAACTGCAAGACCAGAGAAACGGGAGGCTTGGGAGGAAGCATCGACAGCACGTTCCGAGGTGGTGAGTGATGTTGCCAGGTTTCACACCCTCTGTTGCTGTTTCCTCCCTCAGGAAAAGAGAAGTGGGAATGGTAGTTATCTGGGGATGCTTTGGAAGAGAGGCTGGACGGGCTGGAAGGGGGAAGGGATGCGTAACTCTTTGAAAGCAGGAGGTGAGGAGAATGAGTGAACATCTCTATGCTAGATGTGTAAATCAGCTTCATAACCCTCTCACTGCCTGGAAGAGTCCTGGGAATTGTCATTGCTGCCGGCTGCACCATGTTGCAGAGCCCTGTACTATCGAATCTTTTGCTTTGCCAGCCTCACCGTCCATCAAGCCCCGCATTGTTGGTGTCACAACAAGGAACTGGCTGCTGGTGTGCTTATTCCTGTTCCTGCCTATCCTCATTACCTCCATCGTCTTGATTGTGAAAGTGAGGCAATTCCTCTTGTGGCGCAGAGATGAAGAGGCCAAAGACGAGGAGGAGGAGGAGGAAGAAGAAGAAGATGAAGAAGAAAGGTAGCTCATTTGCTTAGCAATCCAACTAGTGCAGCAGTTCCTAACTTTTTAGTACCTGGCTTGGGATCCCCTCCCCTCCCTGGGTGACAGTTGGAGGCATGCTTCGCTCTTGAGCTCTCAAAGATGTATTTTCTGAAATGGTCCCTGGAACAATGGAGGACCTTCTCTGTGCATCTGCAAGGCAGCAAAGGCTACTTCTGCATGAGAATTTTTCTAGGGCTCGACAGCAAGATTCCCCTGCTGCTTTTCAGAACTTCCACATCATTTCATTGCTCATGGGCCTCCTGGGGCTTTCCCTTTTCAGCTGGATCAAAGGAAAACCTCTTTTGATCCAGATCAAAGGAAGAGCTGGTTGGGGGGGGCAGGCTTGCCATTTCCCCACTGCTGGCAAGAGAACTCCCAGCAGCATTCCGCTTCCCCTGCCAGCACTTTGTGGGCCAGCGGGTGTGGGGGCAAAATGAGAGGGGTGAAATGGCATCCATTGATGACATAACATTGCTTCTGGCAGTGTAACTGGAAGTGACATCACTGTGTCACTGACAGGTCTAGGATCCACCTGAAACTCTATGGTTTTACCATAGCATTCCCTGTTCACCTCCAGTTATACAGTCAGGAGTGATGTCATGGCATTGACAGACACTCTTTTTAAGGGAGGTTGCCACGATGTGGGGGTGGGGGCCCAGCCTGATTGCCAGCACTGCTGTGATCATGTGATAGAGAGAACAAGGGAAGGCAATGTCAGCACCGATTGGTGCAGGGATGCTGTCTCCACATACTTCCATGCCGATCATGCCGCGTCCACGGTAGCGGTGCCTTTTCCTGCCCTGGTAATCTTGCTCCCTGGCATCCCACCCTTCTGTTTGCCTAGTCTGTCGTGGTTCAGGGCTGTCCCCTGGGCAATGGTAATGCTGCTTGGGTTCCCGCTGTGCCTGTTGTCTGTGATGTGGGCTCTGTCAGGCGATCCTGGAGAGTCCACATTTTCTTGAGATTGTGCCGATGCTCATAGATTCGCAAAGGGAGGGCACAGTTCATGCCCTGTATGTGCCTCTCTGTTTCAAAGAGCATGGATATATCAACAAAATGACTTGATTTTTCAAGGCAAGCTTCAGTTCCTGTGTCCTGTGGCAGCATGTGGAAATCTCTGGATAAGTATGCATCGGGAAAGGAGGGTACACTCCACTCCTCGAAAGAATGAAGAACGAGTCGGGAGCACTGGTTGCTTCATATTTGAAAAATGTTACGTACTGGATAAGTATGCATCGGGAAAGGAGGGTGCACTCCACTCCTCAAAAGAATGAAGAACGAGTCGGGAGCACGGGTTGCTTCATATTTGAAAAATGTTACGTAGTACAAGGTGCTGTGCATGGAAGAGGCATGGGCTATATCTACTGATAGGTAGATCCTCTTATCGAATGACACCTAGGTTTTAACGTTTCATCTTAGTAAATGCAAAATATTCATTCACTGAAATTGTTTTGTTTACGGTATGTGGGTTTTTTAAAACTTTACAATCCTTTCCTCCGGCAAGGAGGAACACGATTTTTTTAAAATGTTACAACAAAAATGGCTTTGAAAGAGCATGATCGAGCTCAACATTTCACAGAGCAAAACAGGCCCTCCTCTCTATTAGCACCCAGGATCGCAGTCTCAGCTCCCAGTATGCATTTTGTGGAGGGTTCCTCTCCACCAGTGGTCTGCTGTGTTTATTTAGGGCGCTGTTCCGCAGGGCTGCTTAAGCAGAGCGACATGTGCAGCTGCACTGCCGGAAACAGGCTGCTTCCATCAGTAGGCAGGCTCAAGCTCTTCCTAGACTGTACCACTTCAGGCTGCAGGTGCAGGGCTGTTGTGTGTTTGAGTGCTTTCCTTTCCAGGAAAGGAGGAAAATGCCACCCTGTACATAGAACATTGCCATGCATGGAAAGCCCCCCCCCCCAAATGGTGGGAGGAATTATACAAATCCTCAACTGCAGTCTGAGGTGGTATAGTCCAGTATAGTCCAGTGTATATCATGTCTTTCTGTTGAAAAAGGTCAATGAGGGGTGGCAAGGCTAGAGAAGCAGAAGCTGATTTGGATTTTTTTTCACGTTTTCTAAAATTTTATTTTGAACCATGTCTTGTCTTCCCTTTAAATCTAGGTCTCAAGAAGCAAACCCAACAGGGGTCACAAGGTAGATTTTTATTTATGCCATCCTACCCTTCCTCCAATGAGCATTTGTTGTTGTTCAGTCGCACAGTCGAGTCCGACTCTTCGCGACCCCATGGACCAACTCCCGCCAGGCCCTCCGGTCTTTTGCCATCCTCTGAAGTTTGCTCAATTTCATGTTTGTTGCATCTATGACACTGTCTAACCATCTCATCCTTTGCCATCCCCTTCTTCTTTGACCTTCAATCTTTCCCAGCATCAGGGTCTTCTCCAGTGAGTGCTCCCTTCTCATTTGGTGGCCAAAGTATTTGAGCTTCAGTTTCAGTATCTGGCCTTCCAGGGAACAGTCAGGGTTCATTTCTTTTAGGATTGAGCATAAGGCAGCCTATATGACTTTCCCCTCTTATCTCCATAACTACCCTTTTCTCCATAACAACCCTGCAATGTAGGTTTGGGTGAAAAACAGCAACTGGCCCAAAGAGAGGGATTTGAACTCAGGTTTTCCCAGTCCTCATTCATAATCTAAATGGTGCAGCACGCTGGTTCTTGCTCAAACTGTTTTACGCCTCGCGCAGAACTTGTGATCTGCCTCTAGAGTTATATTTTTCCTATTTCAAGAACGAAACCTGTAGAATCATTTGATAACTGGGGTTCCTTGGGACTTGGGCATATGTTCTCTACCAGCAGCTTTCCAAGGAGGTGAAAGTAAAAATTTAACTGTTAAGAAAAGAGCTCAGTCTCTTTGTTTCTGTGTGTCTGACAGACTGATCTTACTGCTGCTAACTAACTGGAACATAAGAACATAAGAAGAGCCCTGCTGAATCCGATCAGGCAGTGGTCCATCTAGTCCAGCATCCTGTTTTATACAGTAGCTGACCAGGTTTCCTGGAGACCCAACAGAGAGGACACAGAGGCTAAGGGTTTCCCCAGATGTTGCCTTCTAGCTCTTCAGAGGTTTACTGCCTCTGAATATGGATGTTCCCTTTACTCACCATGGCTTATAGCCACTGATGGCACAGGCAGTCTTAGTGATTCTGGGGCACCAGGCAAAACCCAAGTAGGCAGCCTTGGAATCACTGGTTTGGGTGCGGAGGGCAGACATGTATTGGCGCCTCCAGCAGCCTTGTTGGATGATTATGATATGCTTCACCACTATAGGTCCCATAAAATGCCAGTAGGACAATGACTCCATATATGTGTGTATTGGAAGGAAATACTAGCCCACAATGGCTGAAGAGTTTGCACAAATGCCTGTCCTCTGCACATTCTTGTTGATTCTCTGCTTTGTTCTTATTGCTTCTCAGTGTATAGTCAACACAGACCAAGTTGCTGCATTGCTGTTCAGATGCCAAAGACGTCTTTTCTTCACTTCAAGAAATGAGCAACCACAAAATATCTTATCTGGAACATCCTTCTGTGCTATAGTGCAGTTTGTCAAGCAAACACTGCTGTCTGCCACGCAGGTTTCTACAATAAACTTATTAAACTGAAACTTTCAACTAAAATGGATCGGACATGTGTCAGTGGGTGGGAAGGGAGATGGGTGATGAGAGTGGCCAGAGAGACTGCTTGGTGGAAATTGGTCTGAGGTATCCTGGGTGAATGAGAGATGGGGGGAGCATTCTCGCAGAAATGTCAGCTGCCTTGGAAAAGAGCACAGTGAACATGAATGCAGAAATAGGATGAGACAGGATAAGGAGGAACAGATGGGGCCAAGAATGATGAAGCCAGAGAGGTTCAGGTGGGAGGAATGCTGTACCAGGAATGTAAAGTGCCAGAAGTCTCTCCCAATAGCCAAGCTCAAGAGTGGTAGCAGCTGTTCTGAAGATGGAGGGACCTGTTATGGGCCTCAACAGAAGATGTTAAGACAGTAGTGCCAAGGCCTTTGCTTTAGCTTGGGTAGCCCCAGGCTCCATGTGGCAGAGCACCTACATTTCTTGCTCACTTGTTAAATCCACACAGTGAGCAACTATTGTTCTTGCATACCATTGTGTTTTAAGCTAGCTTTTTCAGGGAATTCTTTTCACATCAGTTTGTGAGCTGACAAACCCTTCTGTGTCTGGCTTGAAGTGCCTGTGCATGGCAGTGGGTTCTGGGTTCTCTCTTTTTTTAAAAAAAATATGTATAAGTCTTTATTAAATACAGGCAGGTTTATTAAATAGGCACTTTGGGGGACCCTCTGCATCAGGCCCTGCAGAAGACCTGTATGTTTGCCCCAGTGGGTCAAATGGCAATGCTGTGGGAGGCAGTGAGTTTAATTCATTGATGCAGAAAAGTCCCATATTTGGATATCCATTGGAGTACTTCCAGTTAGGCTGATTCCCAACAGAAGGCCCTGCCAGCTGCCTCTAAATCCAACCCAATCCAAATATCTTTATTGGCATAAAAAGCAAAAAAGGTACAATATGGCCAGTTTACAGAAAATTACAATTCTAAAAACCATCAAGCATCACATAAAAGAGCTACACTTTTGCTCCCTGATTGCTATGGCAACCAGAAGGTACCTTGCAACTGAACTTGTAATGTGGGAACATCGGTCAGATAGTAAAAGAGATACTAACTTTGCCTCAGATAGATGGTGAAAGTTAGACAAATTAGGTTTAATTATACAGTCCCGCACTTCCTCATAAAAATCACAATGAAGTAGAACATGGGCTACTGTTTCTGGGTGCCTTCCTTTACATGGGCAAAGTCTTTCTTGATAGGGAGTGTTGGCAAGCCTCCCAGACAATACCGCTGAGGGTAAAACATTAAATCTTGCTAACATAAAAGAGCGGCGTAACTGGGGTGAGGTAATCTGGGAAAGGTAAGCAGCAGTGCCTCTAAATCTTTGGTGGCCAGGCCCATCGCTGACTTGATCTTCTTAGGGACTTATCAGCAGCCTTCACTGATGTTTGCTCAGCTCTACTGGCCATTGGTCAGCGGGGATGCTACACCCAGGCCAAAGGTTTCCTCAGTACCCTGAGCCTCGTAGGGAACGGACTGCGTGATCAACACCAGCTGTAATTTGCGGCTGACCCCTGCAAATTACAGACCAGCACCCACTGCAGAAGTCTGAACTCCCCCCTGATACAATAGGCCCTGCGTTTCCAGAGCAATAGCCCAACTCCAGCTGCATTCAGATAATGATGGAAATGAATAATGAGCATGCAAATGAGACATTGCCTTTCACTTTAAGAAGATTTCATATTTCTGAAGATTATGGCTTCCTTCTTCCAAATCCACTGGTAAGGACGCAGGCTGTACATGCTGCCTGGGGGCAGGAAGGGGACAGGGGAGGTGGGGAGGGAGGAGGATCAAAGCCATCCAAGAAGGGGGGATTTGCATGTCTTTTATGGAGTCAATTGCTAATGTCTAATCGCATTTAGAGATATGCTGGATTTGTGAATTTGGCTGGACTGGAGTTTGGTTCTCTGGCTGAATGCTGAAGAGATTCGACAGGGGAGGAAGCTTTTAAGACGTTAGCAAGAACCAACCAACCAACCAGCCTTAGGCATTTTTGATGTCCTGAATGAGTTAAATATTGAAAAACAAGCACCCGATTTCAGACCTGCAGGGAAAAAAATATGTCCCTTAACCCCAGATGTGCAGGGACTGGCCATGGTTGCTGACGTACGGATGTGAGGACCTCCCCCTCCACAATCAAGAAATGTCTCTACAATGATGGAAACTCTGCATAAGAAAAGCCCTCCTGAATCAGGCCAAGGGTCCACTGATCCAGTGTCTTTTTCCCCGCAGTGGCCAATTTGATGTTTTGAGGGAGTCCCTAAGCAGGACATGGAGTGCTCAGACAAAATTCACAGAGGGTATATCTAGTATTGGTTGTTGGTCATAATATTCAAATGGAACTTCCCTGTTCAAGGGCAGTGTATCTTTGAGTAACAGTTGTTCTGAGGTAACACCTACTCCACCTGTGAGGTTCCTGGAAGTTAGGGATGCCAGACTCCAGGTGGGACCTGGGGATCCCCTAGAATTACAGCTCATCTCCGGACTACAGAGATCAGGTCCCTTGGAGAAAATAGGTGCTTTGGAGGGTAGACTCTGTGGCATTGTACCCCACTGAGGTCCCCGTCCTCCCCAGGGTCCCTCCCCAAATCTCCAGGATTTCCCCAGCCTGGATCTGGCAACCCTGCTGCTCTGGCTCCCACGGGTGGCCACAGTGGTCCTGGCAACCCTACTTGATATGTGTCTGTTCAGTGTTGGGAACCAAATGCTTTGGGCCATTGGCCTGATTGGGTTCCTCTGACGTCTTTCAGCCGCCTTTGAACTCTCCTAGATTCTTTGCTTCAGCAAGAACCTCCGCGATCACCTTGAAGGCTCACTTCCAAGTTGAATTTGAATTTTGAATATTGCAAGAAAGAGGCTAGAAATATTGTTTCAATTCCAGTCCGTAATTGTACAACTCATAAAACAGAACCCCTGATGTTGCTTGAGAAACATATTTAGTAATCATGTTGGAGCCAGCAGAGCATACGGTGCCAGGCTTATAGGCCCTCAACACCCTCCCCTCCAGTGTATTGTGGCACGGCTCATGAGCAGGGGGTGGATCTGTTCAATCCCTGGATAGGTATTGCCCTGGGAATTCTGTATTAGCAGCCTTGATTTCCCTAATGGAAGCAAGGTGGGGTAAAAATGTCATTAATGATTTTTTTTTTTAAAAACACCTTTAAAATTGGAATCCTGCTGATTAATCAGCTCTCTGGTGGGGAAGCAGATTGAATCCTACCTGCTTTTATGTGTTTATGATCCTTATCTGGATTGGGACCTGAGTGTTTTTTAAACAATATCAGGAAATTTGTTTTATGACACATAAGAAACATTTGAAGGGCTGAAACACTATTTCAAGTGTGCCATCTTCTCTCCTCATTTTTGCTTTGGCACTGCCTTCTGGATTGCTGTAGTTTCTGAATATGGATTGCACTTTATGTATGCTCTTTATTGCAGAAATGAGCTGGCATAGAGTGGAGGGCCAGAGCAGCCAGAGCTATGAGCAGCAAGTCTCTGATTCACATCTTTGTAGCCTAGCTGGCCTTAGTCCAGGTGCAGTCTCCCAGCCTCTTGTGTAACATGGGAATGATCACACTAACCTACCTTACAGAGTTGTTATTATAAGCAGAACCTATCTAAAGCACTTTGATAACTAGGGGAAAACACTGTATGGGTACCATTGTAATTACTTTGTATGTTCCAGTGCCAAGCTTTGGCTTAAAAAAAAAGTTTGGGGCTGGACCTTGTTTCAGATTAAGTCCCAGCATCTTGGACTCAACTGTCCCCAAATCTGCACCCCCATAGGTCTGCTCCAAACTGAAGATTAAATACAAAAGTAATAATTTTGGGGGGAGGATTTCTTAGGGCATGAAGCTTCCCTTCCTTTTTGTTACACTGTAGAGAACTTTTCTATCCAGGTAGACGCTAGGATAAAACAGTGTGATTGGGTTTTTTTTGTTTTTTTTAAAGAGAATTAACCTTCCCTTGAAACAAAGTCCATTTCAGTTTAGTGTATCAGCAGACCATCACAGTGATAAGAGCTGTTCTTCAATGGAAAAAAAAAATGCCTCTTAAAATCTGGGTGGACAAAGAGGACAGATAAGATGTTATGCAGCATCAGGAAATATTTAAAAACAGACACAGAGAAAAAGGAAAGGGGGGGGGGAGAATCTCCGTTTTTAGCTAAACCCTTTTCTAAATCTTCCAGTTTTTGGGATTGCCGCAGACACAGAAGTTAGAGAACTGGCAATTTGGTTCATGTCAGTTGTCAGTAGATAATTAAATTGGCAGATTTTCCCACACCCCTCATCTCAAGAAGTCTCAACAGAACAAACTTCATTAAACCTTCAGACAGCTCAGAAGCCATGGGGTTCTAGAGATTATCACTATGTCCCTGTCAGGTCTTTGGGGAAAAAAACAGTAAAATTAAGCAAAAGCAGTTCTTTCCTGGATCGGCTGAGCTCAACACATCTTGAAAATTGAGGTGAAAAAAAACACTCTCATTGACTGTGAAAACTGGGACCCCACGTATCGGGACGTTTTCCTGCATAGGCCCCACGGAACTGAACAAGAGCTGAAGAAAAGAGCCCTTCCCAATAGATTGTGTCCCAGTGGGTCAGATTCATCACGGATTTCACTTCCCTTAAGGTACTTAAAATCTTCCCCTCTTCCCCCCCCGCAGGTGGCTGCCTCACTTAGGGTTGCCAGCTCTGGGTTGGGAAATACTGGGAGATTTTGGGAGTGGAGCCTGGGGAGGGCGGGGTTTGGAAGGGACCTCAGCGGGATGCCATACACCCCACCCTCCAAAGCAGCCATTTTCTCCAGATGAACTGATCTTGGTCATCTGGAGATCCGTCATGATAGCGGGAGATCTCCAGGTGCTACCTAGAAACTGGCAACCCTACTTATGGTAGACCAGGCTCTGATTATACCTATCACCCACTAAAGTTGGCCATGTGGTCCTCTAGTAAGTACCTGATTGGTTGGTCATGTGGTCTTTTTCGTTAGCTGCCATCTCTGTACCTCATGGTCGTGGTCCATCTCTGCCTCTTCATCAAAGTGACTTTCTCTGGAGGTGGTGGGCTCTCCTCCTTTGGAAGTTTTCAAACAGAGGCTAGATGGCCATCTGACAGCAATGCTGATTCTGTGAACTTAGGCAAATCATGAGAGGGAGGGCAGGAAGGGTTGCACCAGTGCTTAGTTCTCGTGGCCCTTTCTTACATGCCCAGGGAAATGCCAATCATCACTTTGGGGTCAGGCAGCAATTTTTCTCCAGGCCAGTTTGGCCAGGGATCCTGGAGGGTTTTTGCCATCTTCTGGGCATGGAGCAGGGGTCACTGGGGTGTGAGTGGGGGGAGGTATTTGTGAATTTCCTGCATTGTGCAGGGGGTTGGACTAGATGGCCCTGGAGGTCCCTTCCAACTCTATGATTCTATGACTGGTTTAGGCAGCAATCCTGCGCATGCCTCCTTGGGAGAAAGTCTCTTGGAACACACTGAAAACTGCTTGTCAGTAAGCATGCACAGTATGTGGCTGTTAATCCGGGGCCGTAATATAAGTAAATGACATACTACCATTTTAGCAGCACCCCCATTTCATAGATGGTCAGAGGCAGCATGTAAGAATTCATGCCGAGCGCCAAAGAATAGATTCTTTTGAACTATGGTGCTGGAGAACTCCAGGCCAGTTTGGCCAGGGATCCTGGAGGGTTTTTGCCATCTTCTGGGCATGGAGCAGGGGTCACTGGGGTGTGAGTGGGGGGAGGTATTTGTGAATTTCCTGCATTGTGCAGGGGGTTGGACTAGATGGCCCTGGAGGTCCCTTCCAACTCTATGATTCTATGACTGGTTTAGGCTGCAATCCTGCGCATGCCTCCTTGGGAGAAAGTCTCTTGGAACACACTGAAAACTGCTTGTCAGTAAGCATGCACAGTATGTGGCTGTTAATCCGGGGGCCCAATATAAGTAAATGACATACTACCATCTTAGCAGCATCCCCATTTCATAGATGGTCAGAGGCAGCACATGAGAATTCATGCCTTCCATGCCTCACTTCTTGCAGATTGGAAGAGGCCCACTGAAGGTGCTTTTCTAAGGTTCCCAAAATACTGCAGCCAGCCCTAGCTTGGGGGAGTGGTAGTGAATAAATTGTAAAGCTCTCTTTTAAGCTTTTTGCCCTCAATCCTGATCCATGCTCAAAGAGGTTCGTCATAGGGCCTTCCTCCTCTTCTGTTTTATAGAAAGAACTCCCTCCTTTCTACAGCCCTTGGATGGCGATCGCCCACAACCTCCCTCACCTGATTGAGAACCATCAACTTCGTTCATATGTAGAAAAGGTACTGGATATTATCATGTATAAATGTAAAGAGCTTGAAGAATTTTAGGGCGACGATGGATGTAATAAGAAAAATGGAGCTCGGAGTGAGTCCCTCAGGATGAGATGAAGGATGAGAAGATATCTAAATTGTTTTGGAATTTCTCTCTGCACAACGTTCCACCTCTTGTCAATTCCAGTTTCATGAGGTGAATTTCTAAAATATTGATTCTGGAACTGAATCATATGCAGTTTGTTGCAGCTTTGAGTTCCTTCACACCATCTGCAGTTGTTCCTCCTTTGTTACTGATGTGCACATCTGTATTGACCAAACACTGGAAAAGGCAATGGTGATGTGGTTGCTTCAGGATTCTTTTTGTACAGTGTTTCCATGATGTGCAATCGTACATTCACTTAAGGATCGGAACTTAGAGGGTCAATTCCTTTCATCTCTTTGCAATGCTGGGAAATCTCCTCTAGAGGTCACTAGTGCCTTAGCAGAGACTCCCCCAGCTCCTGTAGTCCAGGAACAAGGAGTCTGGCTTCATGTCCTCATATACAGATATTTAGAACTGCTGCATCAAGAACTTTTATCAGATTAGCTAGCTAACTCCCTATGATCAACACATTAATTTACTGATGAATGCACAGCTACTTCTATCCGTTGGTCTGTCAAAATAATAGCCTAGTGTTTCCTCCCAACGGGGTCTCAACTCAGAACACGTTCAGTACTCTAAAGATGGTTAAAACCCAATAAAAATCAAACTGAGATATTTTAGTGCCGCAGACTGTGGTTTCAAATTGCTTTCTGTTCGAAAGCAAGAAATTGCAAATAGATAAATAGGTACCACTTAGGTGGGAAGGTAACAGCGTTCCGTGCGCCTCGGCGTTTAATCATGCCGGTCATATGACCACAGAGAAGTCTTCGGACAGCGCTGGCTCTCCGGAGTTGAGCATCGCCCCCTAGAGTTGGAGTCAACTGGCTTTCAAGCAAGGGAAAGCTTTACCTTTACCTTTAATTAATACAGGACACCCTCCACCAGGAAGCTCTTCCCCGCAAGTTGCTCAAGAGCACTACTTACTGTGTTTTGCTGCAGTTTGTGCAGGTGAACTCCCACTGCCTTGTGGCTGATGGGGCTTCTCTCCTTGCTCTGTCTCCAGCTCTCCTGCCTTTCACGTCCCCTTGGATCTGCTGCCTGAAAGAGCTTGATCCACGACAGAGCCATTTCCAAACTCCATAAGGCACAACGGCAAGCCCAGAATCATACTGGCCAGTTTTTAAAAACAAGTTTATTGGAATGAAAACACCTGCACATTTGGGGGGCTGTCACATGCCCCTTGCCTCCTTTCTCTACAACAGAGGGAACAGGTGGGCAAGCAGCACTTGCTTCTGTTAAGAGTAGCCGTGTTGTTTATCCTCTTGCAGAAGGGGCTCTGTGGAAGCCCTGCTGACACAAGTGGAAGTTTTCCACGGTGACCATATGGCCAACCTTGGCAGCTTTGGAGGGCAGATATAATAAAAGTACCGTACAGTAGCAGAACATGCAGATGTTCATACGGCAAAGTGGAAACCACTGAACACATGATTATAGAGAGTCCTATATTTAACGAGTTGAGGGCTAATTTAATCACCCCTTTACTTAAATATACGGAATTGCTTAATATGAGAACCCAGGTGACATGGCTATTATCGGATACAAACGATCGTGTCACCCTTTCAGCAGCAAAATTTATAGGACCAATCATTAAATACCAGGGAAACAATACTAAGTAAGGTCTTTTTAATTTTAATTTTTATTCTAATTTCTGTTTAAGGCAAAAACTGTATAAGCAGTACTAGATAGAGAGAACAATCCTTGACCATAAGGATAAGTCCAAGGAGCAGCACAAGGTAGTGGGTGTTCACCCCAAATACATCCCACTGTCCTTTTGGTTCTTTCAGCTTTTTGTCACAGCATACTCTGCACACAGTATGAGTCATAATCGCTCAGTTCTAATCTTCATCTCGTCAGCAGGCAGAACGTTTTGCTGTTCCTGGCAGGGGACGATCCCCTGGCTGTCTCTGCCAGAACGAGAGGCCGTGCGGGCCAAGTCCTCCTGTGTGCAGAAAGCTTGTTTCAAGGGGTCATCCCCTGCAGGCGCTGGCCATCCCTGCTGCTTGGTCACGGACAGGAAGAGGGAGCTAAAATGGAAGGTTAGGCCTAATCCCAAACACAGCCATTTGTGAAAGCAGCCCAGCCCCATTTCTGTGACTAAGGGATGAGCCAGTTTGGTGTAGTGGTTAGAAGTGTGGATTCTAATTTGGGAGAACTGGGCTGGATTCCCCACACCTCCACATGCAGCTGCTGGCGTGACCTCCGGTCAGTCACAGTTCTTTCAGAGCTGTTCTCTCAAGGGCAGTTCTCAAAAGCGCTCTCTCAGCCCCACCTACCTCACAGGGTGTCTGTTGTGGGGAGGGGGAAGGGAAAGGAGATTGTAAGCTGCTCTCCTTTGGGTAGTGAAGGGTAGGGTATAAATCCAATCTCCTCCTCCTCCTCCTCTTCTTCTGCAAACAAATGATACATATACATACAAATTACCACAGTCTCCATTCCATGGAATATATATTCAGTGTGTATAACAAAAATCCTTTCTCCCCAGAGGTCTTTGGTGATGGTCTTTGCCACCCCGTTGCTCCCCCACATTAAATCATATAATAGGTGGTCAGTTGACAATATTGGACCAGTCATGGTCCAGTGTGCCTACCAACTCTATTCAGTAGGCGAATGTGAGAACTCAGCCCATTTGAACATTGTGCATGAGGAGTTAAGAGGTTCTCTCTCTGGTCTGTGTCCTTAGATGATTCATTTACCCACATATCACTTGATGCTGCGGACATCATGTGATAAAACGGTGTCCATAAGAATCTCTGAACTAGCAGATTCCGGTGTGCTTGACAGAAATCGTTTTGCTGCACAGCCTCGTCTCTGTTTAAAGCCTTGCTGTTCAAACAGATGCCTCTGCTAAGCACCCAGCACCTTCAAGGCCACCGAGAACTGTATTTGGCTCATCTGGTCCTCAGCTTTATCACGATGGGTTACGTCTGGCAGGAAGGTGAAAAAGGAACTGCCAAGGTAAAGCCCACAAGACATGATCTTTGTGACATAAAGATAATTTTGTCTATATCTCAACAGCCTAGTTGTCAGTGGAGTGTGGTCATCATCTGTCTGAGTAAACAAGGGAAAAATCTGGAACCCTTTCCCCGAACGTCTAGCTTTTGTATGTAGTTTTAGGAATGAAAGAATGTTAATTTCTATTGGGATTCAGCCTGAGTGTGTATCATGAGTGTTGTACCTAAGGATCCACTGTAGCGTAGAAAGCCAGTATGGTGCAGTGGTCAGCCTGGAGAGATCTGGGTTCAAATTCCTACTGTCCCTAACCTTGAGCAAGTCATTCTCTCCCAGACTAGCCTACCTCACAGGATTGCTGGGAGGGTAACACGTTCAGGGGAGAACTACAATCACCGCAGCAAGCTCCTTGGAGGCTGGTTGAGATTCAAATCCACAAGAACAAAAGGAAAGTGTTGCATGAAATCACTAGCTGTAATGAGGCCTGCCAACTCCAGGTTGGGAAATTCCTGGAGATTTGGGGATGGAGCCTGGGGGAGGCTGGGGTTTGAGGAGGGGAGGGACCTCAGCAGGGATGTGACACCATAGAGTCCAAAGCAGCCTTTTTCTCCAGGGGGGGCTGATCTCTGGAGATCAGTTCCCACTTGGAGGTTGGCAACCCTAACAGTAATGCAAGCCTCTTCTTTCTGCGAGCACTCTGCTAAAGTCTTGAGGGGTAGTGGCTTCATCTCGTCATCCATTACAATTTATTCAGCCAAAGGTCCACATCTGAAAATTGCAGGGAAAACTGGAACATGTCTTGTGTCTTGCAGGTCCTGCCAAGAAACCTGGCTGTCCCCTTTGGAGAGATTTCTCGGGCTCTAGGGCTACCTCCGATCCTGGTTCATGCAGATTTTGTTTTAGTAAACTGGAAGAAAAAGAATCCTTGTGGGTAAATGTAAGAAGAAAAGTCTTTGGGACTGGTGGACAGAAGCCAGATCAAAACAGGAGCCTGGAATCTTAGCCTGTCTAAATCTGTCTAAATTGTTCAGAACTGGCTTGGCTCTTTGAATTGAGAGTATTTTTAATTGTTTGTCATACAGAGAGCCGTGACGATGATGCTGGCCACACAAAAGAATGCACATTTTAAATTGCCTTGTGTTTGTGGACAGGTTTGCAAAATTCCGACTTCAGCTGTTAAGGGGCTCTCTGTAACTGAAACAAAGGCCCTTCCTAATGTGCTGTGTTGCATACTGAAAACCATTTAAAGTCAGAGACATTTGGCCCCTGTCGTTATTCTTTTGCTGGCTTATGTAAAATATTTATAGGCTCCTTTCCGAGTGCCTAAATGGCATATGCTTATGAAAAGCAACATTAAAAACAAAACAGCAAATAATAATTATAAAATCACCTTCAAACTACCATTTGAGAGCCAACTCAACCAGTTTGAGTCCAGTGGCACCTTTAAGACCAACAAAGTTTAATTCTGGGTATAAGCTGTCATGTGCATGCCTCTTCTTCACATTCAGATATCTGAAAAAGCGTGCATGCACATGAAAGCTTATACCCAGAATTAAACTTTGTTGGCCTTAAAGGTGCCACTGGACTCAAACCTTGTTCTGTTTATATGGAGCAGTCATCCCTTCTCTCCTAGCAAATCACTGCAAACTTTAGGGAAGGATTAGTGATGTTTGACAGAGAATCTAAGCATAACTCACCAAATTACAGTTCCCCGTGTTCTTTGGGAAGAGGAAACTCATGACTGGTCAACTAGAATAAAATCAATATACTTTTTGTAATATTGATGTTCCTCGCAGAATTAGGGTTCCCTGGGATGAGGGAATTATATCTACAACCATTTTAGGTATATAGTTTAGTTATGACCTAAAAGAAGATGAGGATGAGGCATAGTTTAATGTTAGATCACATGTCCTGTTCATGCAGAAGGTCTCTAGTTCAACCCCCAGCATCCCCAGTCAACCTGGGCATCTTTATTACGTAAAATACTTTTAACCTACCTTTCCTATTGTCAATGGCAGTTTACAGAAATCAGTAGTAATACTGGGGCTATAGTACATAATATAATGTATAATATAATACATATAATAAAACTACTTAGAGCGCATGATTACCCATTCTCAAAAGCCCTTTCAAATAGGGCAGCCTTGCACAGTCTTTGGAAAGCAGCCAATCTTGGTGCCCTCCTGACCTCTTTGGGAAAGCCATTCAAGAAGGCTGGAGTCACAGCCCCAAAAGATCTCACAGACCCAAGAGGAGGGGCAGAGGGCACTCTGGGTGTCTTGCACAATGAGTGCAAACAAGAGGGGGCATTTGAGGAGATGTTCAGTTTTCAGAAAAGCACAGTGCTAGCATTTGGAGTGGACTTTACTCCTCCACTGACTTAATCTTTTTGTTTCCCTTCCGCGTGTGCTTGCTGCTGATACCCCCCAACCTCTCAAAGGCCTCTGCAAATTGAGTAAGTATTTGAAGCTTGAAGCAGCATTTGTTTTTGTGCCTGACAGTTTGTTCAGATATTTGAGGTCACAGCTTGGCCATCTTGAGGTTAAGTCTCTGCTACCTGAGGGATGATTGTTCAGGGTGAGAATTTATTGTTGGCTTTTATCAGGATAGCTATGTGTTTTTATTCTTACATCCCTTTCCGGTGGCCAGGGAGGACCTGGTAACCCACTGTTCTGCAGTTTATGGGCATTGTGCTCTATTTAATTTTGTAAGCCACCTGGAGAACCTTGGAGCTCAATAGCAGGGCAGACGATGTCTGTACGATGTCTCCATCCCATTCTCCTTATCTGATTTCTCTCAAATCACACAGTTCCAAATTACATGGTCTTGTTTACAAGGTGGGATTCTAGTTTATTTTCAAAATGCATAGAGAGCAGTATGAATGTGATAGGGTTGCCAACTCTGGCTTGGTGCATTTCTGGAGGTTTGGAGGTGGTACACAGTAAGATCAGAGCTTCGGAAGGGGAAGGAGCCCACTGGGTGTCTGAAGCTGCCCTTTTCTCCAGGGGAACTGACCTCTGTATTTTGGAGTTCCAGGAGAATTCCAGGCCCTGCTTGGAGGGTGGCAACGCTAATTTAGATACGTCTTTCAATTTCTTCAAGTCATTTTATCTACTCCTCTTCCCCACCCCACATTACCACTGAGCCACGTGTGCCTTGCTAAAACAATGCAAAAAAGTAAACTACATGCAATGGTACTATTAATTATACCAAGGATTTCTGTGTGCAGTGTTTTATCACGCAAAAAGGACTTTGGTGCAATCACACATACAGTCCAAGCAAGCTTTCATTTTTGTAGTGTTTTATTATATGTAGCCTGGTAACAGAGGAGGGGCAGAGGCAAAAATTAGAAGAAGAAGAAGAAGAAGAAGAAGGAGAAGGAGAAGGAGAAGGAGAAGGAGAAGAAGAGATTGGATTTATACCCCGTCCTTCACTACCCAAAGGTGTCTCAGAGCAGCTTACAAACTCCTTTCCCCTCCCCACAACAGACACCCTGTGAGGTAGGTGGGGCTGAGAGAACTCTGAGAGCAATGGCTCTTTTTCAAGGACAGCTCTTATCAGAACTACGGCTTGCCCAAGGTCATCCAGCCAGGTGCAAGTGGAGGAGTGGGGAATCAAACCCGGTTATCCCAGATCAGAGTCTGAGCACTTAACCACTACACCAAACTAGAAGAACAAACTGAAAGCTGTAGCAAAGCATGCCTGCTGTAATTCCGGAATTCATCTTAGAAATCCTCTTAGTTAAAATGCAGTTAAGGAGGAGTCAAACAGTGCAAAACCAATTTCTGAAACAGAACCGGGGAAATCAGCACATTTTCTGTAAAATACACACTTGAAACCATCAACAAAGAGAAAATGGCAGTGGGGATCGGGAGGCAACCCACTTATGCATTCTGTCCCACTGTGTGTGTTAAGTGCCGTCAAGTCGCTTCCCACTTATGATGGCTTTATGGGTTTATGTTCTCCAAAACACCCTGTCATTAACAGCCTTGCTCAGGACTTGCAGACTGAGGGCCCTCATGGCTTCCTTGACTGAGTCGATCCGTCTCAGGTTAGGTCTTCCTCTTTTCCTGCTGCCTACAACTTTTCCTGGAGCTGCGGTGGCTCAAGTGGTTAAGACGCTGAACTGCAGACTGTGGAAGGTCGGTAGTTCAGCAGTTCGAGACCCGAGTGTGCCGCATGACGGAGTGAGCTCCCGTCTCTAGTTCCAGCTCCTGCCAACCTAGCAGTTCGAAAGCAAGAACTTGCAAGTAGATAAACAGATAAATAGATAAGTAGATAAATTACCACTTCGGTGGGCATTCCGTGCGCCTTGGTGTTTAGTCATGCTGGCCACATGACCACGGAAACGCCTTCGGACAGCGCTGGCTCTTCAGCTTTGAAATGGAGATGAGCACCGCAACCCTAGAGTCAGACTCAACTGGCTTTCGAGCAAGGGAACCTTTACCTTTACTTTAGAACTTTTCCTAGCATTATTGTCTTTTCCATTTCCCATTACTCTTATCTTCTTATAATGTGACCAAAGTATGATAGCCTCTGTTTATTCATTTTAGCTTCTAGAAAGAGTTCAGGCTTGATTTGGTCTAGAAACCACTTATTTGTCTTGGACAGTCCACAGTATGAGTAAAACTCTCCTCCAACACCACATTTCAAACGTATCGACTTTCTTCCTGTCAGCTTTCTTCATTGTCCTTCTTTCCCACCGCTACACAGTAAATCTCACAGACCTGTGTAATGTTGGTTTTTTTTAAAGCAAATAAAACTATGTGGAAAGGAAAGGAGGTTGTCACGAAAGGGCTGTGGAACAGATTATACACACTTCAACTCCACAGCTCCTTTGGGAAATTCTCCCACTGCAAGGCAGAGCCAATTCAGAGATCTGTGAATGAATGACATGGGGGGGGGGGGGAACACCAGCAGCTGCCTTCCAAACCATGGAGCCCTAACTGCAAAGTCACCTTGCATGTCCCATGCTTTCTCCTCTTCCCACAGGAACTTGGATCCCATTGTTTCCTTGCCTGGGGGAGACAGCATGAGGGGCTTCATTCTGGTCACTTTCCTGGTTGAGAAAGCTGCTGCACCTGGGATCAAGGTATGGGTCTGTCCTGAATCCTTTGCTTTGGTTGCCTTGTGAACAGTGGCTGGTGGGTACTCCTGCCTTTTGGTCAAGGCCATGTGTTCTAGATACTCTTAAAAAGATGATTTAAAAAACCATAATTCCAGTTTTTGGAGAGGAAAGAAACTCTAATTTGCCCCAGCGCCGACATTTGGTCATCATTTCATTCATTCATTCATTCATTCATTCATTCATTCATTCATTCATTCATTCATTCTGTTATTTATATTTGTGTTTCTTATAGTCCACTTTTCTCACTGAGTCTCAAGGTGAATTACATAATGTCAGTGCATCAATAGGATGAGGATACACCTAATAAACAATGTAATAGGACTAGAAATCCGAAACCAGGCATAACTATTAAATATGACAATTTAAGCAATGCAAGAAATGGCCTTACGTAAGTAGGAATACAAAGCAGTGAAGCAGGATAAAAACATAGAGGAACCGATAATATATATTAGTACTGTATATCAATTCTCCCTCTAAGCTGTGGAGTACCTAATAAACAATGTAATAGGACTAGAAATCCGAAACCAGGCATAACTATTAAATATGACAATTTAAGCCATGCAAGAAATGGCCTTACGTAAGTACCGTAGGAATACAAAGCAGTGAAAGCAGGATAAAAACATAGAGGAACAGATAATATATATTAGTACTGTATATATATCAAAACTTCTTTCTCAATCATTATGTTATAAGTGCAGACCTATAGTTTTAGAAAAATACCCCCCTGAACAATTCCGTCTTGCATAATTTGTGGAGAGCCAAAAGTGGGGGAGCCTTCCTGACCTCCACGGGTAAGCCCTTTCTCAGGTTGGGGGCCACTACAGAGAATGCCTGAATATGGGTAGTTGCTGACCTTGCCCATTTGCTGGGTGGCACCTGTAGAAGGCTCTGTCCAGATGAGCAGAGTTGGTTTAGTGGGGGGCATAAAAGGTAGAGCTGCCAGCCTCCAGGTAGGACCTAGAGATTTCCTGGAATTAGAACTGATCTCCTGATGACAGGGATGTTCCCCTGGAGAAGATGGCTGCTTTGGAGGGTGGACTGTATGGCATTACACCCTACTGAAGCCCCCCTCCCTTCCCCAAATCCTGTCCTCCCTAGGGTCCACCTTGAAATCTCCACGAATTGACCGACTTGGAGTTGGCAGCCTAAAAGGAAGAGAGATGGGTTTGCAGAGACAAGGTCCCAAGGCTGTGAAGGGCTTTGTACATGAGGTTGTGGGGACCTGGGATTCGTCTGAAGGCTTTCCCAGGGGCAGCAGACTGGCTGACCTGTCAGAGTGCCTCTTTTCCTCCATTGGTGCTCTATTTACATATGTGTAAATAAAGCAGATATTATATAATATATATTTTAAATCTGCATAAGAGTCTAGTGGGGTGAGCTGACATCCAAAGGACACCAAACGCTAGTATCTCTCCTGGAACGGCTTGCTTATTGCTTGAGAAAATGGAGCCTTGGAAAACCACTCTGGCTCCTTCACGCCAGACCTTCCAGTTACTGGAAATACTGTCGTTTTCTGGAAGTGTTGTTAGGGTTGTCCAGTCCCCTCTGGCCACTGGCAGGGGTTGGGGGGCGGGTAGGATTGCCAGATCCAAGTTGGGAACCTCCTGGAGATTTGGGGATGGAGCCTGGGGAGGACAGGGACCTCAGTGGGGTACGATGCCATAGAGTCCGCCTTCCAGAGCATCCATTTTCTCCAGGGGAACTGATCTCTGTGGTCTGGAGGCTGGCATCCCTATGAGACGGAATCTAATTGTGCCCCGTGCCGATTGGTGATTTTATTCTTTATTTTGTCTTTGTGTTGATTTCAAACCATGCAATCCACCCTGAGTACCATTCGTGTAGAAGGGCAGGTTTTCTACACAAGCAATACATTTTTTTGGTATGGCTGTATGCAACCAAGACATCCCAGTTCAGGCATCCCTCTTGTCACCCACAGGCCATGGCCCAGGCTGTGAATGGCATCCTGCAGCTGAACAACCGGGTTCTGGAGGAAGCGCTGCAGGAGCTGGCAAATGCTCTCAGAGCTATGACTGCGGCTCTGAAGAAAATGCATGGTAAGCCTGGGAGTTCTCACTTAGCTGCATGACTCACAAAATGTTACCCAATAGGACAAAAAGGGACAGAAGGAAATAATATGTCATTTTTATGCAGTATTAAGAGCAGGGGTGGGTGTATACCAGGATTTGGCATAAATTCAGAAAAGCTACATAATATGTGGCAGCACAGTGTAATTTGCCCTGATCTTGTCAGTTCTCAGAAGTTAAGCAGGGTTGGCCAGCAAGGAAGCCCAGGGCTGCTACACAGAGGCAGGCATTGCAAACCACCTCTGTTCGTCTCTTGCCTTGAAAATTCCATGGGCTCACCATAAGTCAGTTTCAATTTGATGGTACGATCTGCCGCTGCCACCACCACCACCACCACAGCGTGACTTCCTCCAGTAGCGGTGTTTAAGTTTCTAGCCCCTATGGTCCAAGGAGATGCTTGAAAGTGTGTGGAAATGCCTTGTAAATTCTTTGCCCCAGAAGAGTTGTTGAGTATTGGGTGAATAGTGAATGACTATTGGTTGAATATTGTTGAACAGTGGTTTCCACTATTCCTCAAGAAGGCCAGAGGGCAACATGACAGGGTTAGTGTTCTTTTATCCTCACAACATCTAATGTGAGGTCATTTAGGCTAAGACCTTACAAAGATTACAGAATTTTAAATCTAAGGGCTATCAGTAGCCCATCTGCTTAGACATAGCCAGTGTTCAAATGTGTTGGGATGGAGTATAATGCCATCCTGATTTTTTCAAGTAGACCAAAACCCATCCTACTTATTTTTCAGTGGATGAAAACCATACTGGAATGGAACAGGAACATGCCAGTATTGCCAGGAGTCACTAAGAATGTTTCATATATTTATGACTATGGAGGCAGGAGTGATTGAAAACAGCCAGGGTCCGACTGAATCACAGTTCACTCAGGCCACGGCTGTTTATTAAGCTGAACCTGGCAAAGATAGGGCACTGCAGAGACAGACCGATGGAAAGAACCCTTTCTTTACCCCCAACAACTGAAGCCCTCAAAAGCTCTCTTTTCAAATACCTGCTTCCACAGTGAGGAAAAGTGGGAAACTGGGGGAGGGGGACAGGGGGCAGCCAGCAGTGATGGTAGGATGTCATTTTTGGGAAAAACTGGAAGTGATGTCAAAGCCTCTCAAGGAATTGCTGGAAACTCTGTCATAAAACCGTAGTGTTTTTTGGTGATCCCTAGAGAGGCCTGACGTCACTTCCAGGTTCCCCCTGAAACAATGACAATCCTTTCTATGGGAAGGAGAATGGGTAGAAGAGCTAAAGGAATATGAAGGGAGGAGGCAGAAGGCAGCTACCCAGTGTATGCAGGCAAGGTTAGGAAAGGAGAGGGAAGGGAAGGAAAGTGGGTAAGAGGAGAGGCCCAGAAGGAGGCTCCTCAGACGGCAAAAGGAAAACTGAACATGACCAGGCCCTGCAGAGACTGGGAAACTTGGCAGCTTTTGTGTAATCCAAAATTGGCCACAGCTTTGTCTGCACACCTCTAGCCACCTTGTATATCTATCTATATATCTAATACCGAAGTCGCCCCATGCCTGCGGATACTTATTTCCGCACATTGGAGGCACCTGGGGGGGGGAGGGAGATGTTTGTGCACACTTGGGGCAGTCCCCAAGTGTACACAAAAATCTGAAACCTGTAAAAAAATATCGGGGGGATACTTAAATCCCCCAAAAGTGACAGAGCGTCCCCTGCCGGCCCTCACTTCGGAGCAGGGGGGAGGAGATCGAGCCGGGGGGTGGAGGAGGGTGGAGGAGATGGGGGGAACTGGTGGCATGGGGGGGGAACTTACCTCCTCCTGCTGCTTCCTCCTCTTCCTCATAGATGTGGAGCTCCCTCCCCCCCTCCCGTGAGTATTGTGGGTCCCACCCCTTGTTATTATATAATTAAGAGGGAGGGGGATAAATAAGTGTATGTGGGGGAAGCTGGATCCCAGCACAGCACACTGGCCTTTTTAGCCTTCCCCTTCACGGGGTTCCATAACCTTTACAAAGAGAAGATGTGACCGTTACTTTTACTGACAGGCCTGGTTCTGCTTTGCTTCCCAGATTATGTGGATCCTGCAATATTTTATGGTATGATACGAATATTTCTTTCTGGGTAAGTACAGCACATCCCTTTGGATGTACAAAAGGTGCTGTCAGTTTTCCCAAACTGGAAGTAAGGGGAGGGATGAAGCAATGCTACTCCTGGACCACTGTGCAAGGATGAGAGGATGGGGTCCTCTCCAGGCAGTGTTCCCTAGAGACTTGAACTATTTTAATAGTTCTTGTCTCTCTCCCAGATGTAGGCACTGTCTCAGTCCATACAGTCAGAAGGGACTGAATCAAAAGCGCCAATCCTTACCCATCCACTGCCAAACACAGCCACCCATGGCAACCTGTTCAATACAGACTGCAGCATCCCGCCATGAAAGCTCACTTGCCTGCAAAACTGGGCATGCATTAACTCATCAGACCCACGCATCCTTCAAGTCTTCCTCAAAGCCCCTTGGATACTGTGTCCACACAAATTCATCTTGGATTTCACTTGGGGACCAAATTCATCGTCTTCCTAAAGATGTATGGCGGTATTTGCTTAAGACGGACATGAAAACTGGATTCCTTAGAATTTCCTTGCTTGCTTAGCTTGAACAGAACTCAGGGGACTCCAAATACTCCTGGAAGTTTGCTTTAGCCAAAATGAGGAGCCAGTTTTAAACGTAGGGCAAATAATGGCTTCAGGAATTAGGCAAGTGAACTACACCTGCTTGCCCAGCTTCCTATCTCCACAGTACCATGTTTCCCCCTTCCCCCTAAGGAACATCTCTGACCTTTTCTGGCCATACACTAATTCACTAGGCATGCCCAGAAGTAAGGGCAGGCATGCCCTGCGGTAACAGAGAAGGAACTATAGGCTTGGCCCAGTAAGAGAATGGATGACAAGGCAAGTGAGTGAATGCAACCCCCCTGCATGCCTTCTCCACCAGCCCTTTATGGTCCTTGTGCAACAGAGAACATGACAGAAGGTCGGCACGTGTCCTCTCCTTAATGCTTGGCTTCCTGGGGCCACCTCAGCTAATTCTCTTGGTTTCTCTTAATCAGTCTTCCTCATTAAGCCCTCATTAAAACTTGGCTGGATCAAAGCGGTGGTGGTGGTGGTGGTAGTTGATGTCTTAAGGACTCAAAGGATGGCTTTAATGCAAGTGCTTTGCTTTTGGGACTGCAAACTCCCTGAATGTTTGCTGTATGGGGTTTATTTCTGGGCTCCTGATTTTAATCGTAGGTTGGATGATATCCTTTACTATTAAATAATAAGAGACCCAAATGCAAAAGAAAATAAAAGAGTCTAAACTTGTCCCGCCAGATCTTAGGAGTACACAGCTTCATTTAATCAAGGGATTTTTAATTCCCCTTCCTTCAAAGAGAACTCAGACTGAACTATAACAATGTTAATAAGAATACGGATCCAGAATTCAAAACAATGAGCACTAATAAACATAACATTAAAACTAATTCAGGAGGTCGGAGATCCTAAAATGCCCCCAATTTGCAGCTGCACAACAGCTCCTTATCTGAAAAGGGCCTAGGGATGACAGCCTCCAGGTGGGACCTGGGGATCTCCTGGAATTACAGGTCATCTCTAGACTACAGAGATCAGTTTCCTTGGAGACAATGGATGCTTCCGAGGGTGGACTCTATGGCATCATGCCCCACTGAGGTCTCTGTCCTCCCCAGGCTCCATCCCCAAGTCTCCAGGAGTTACCCAAACTGGAGCTGGCAAGTCTAC